TTGGATTTGGATTTGGATTTGGATTTGGATTTGGATTTGGATTTGGATTTTGATTTGGATTTGGATTTGGATTTGGATTTGGATTTGGATTTGGATTTGGATTTGGATTTGGATTTGGATTTGGATTTGGATTTGGATTTGGATTTGGATTTTGATTTGGATTTGGATTTGGATTTGGATTTGGATTTGGATTTCGATTTCGATTTCGATTTCGATTTCGATTTTGATTTCGATTTTGATTCCGATTTTGACTCCGATTTTGACTCCGATTTGGATTTTATATGATTGTCGTTTTAGTATAATGCGAATATTCACTAGTGATTGAAAATACGGCGAAAAGAAAGTGTGTTTCGTGCTGTAACTACTCCGGGTCCCTGAATACTGAGTTGAAATACATTTACAAAATAGACTATCGTTTTCACCCTGTGTAAACTTAAAATTAAAAAAAACTATTAAAAAAATACACTTTAAAACAACCAACCCTTGCCCAGCTTTTAGAGCCACTAGAGCAGTTGTCGTTTCTCGTGCAGTAAAGAACAATTATGGTCTGTTCACAGTCCGTTGGACGTTGTATATCTTTTTCAAAGATTTTAACACTTCCGGCTATTTTGCCAGTGGGGCGGCAACTATAGTTGACACAATCTCTCTCAAATCCTGTGATTTCCATGGGATATTTTGTCAAGCCGATTATCATGTCTGTAGGGGAAAAAAGTTGCTAATTTTATTTAGCAAAAGTTCTCTTGAAATAAAATGTATTAATCATGTAAACTTGAGCACCTTTTGAAAGACTAAATACATAAGCTATGGTAAATATGTAGGCACATTACTTTAGAGTAAAAGTGCGATAAATTACCATGTATATGATAGTGCCGGGCTGTACTCGGGTTTAGGGCGAGGGGTAAACGACAAATAAACAAACAAAAGGATAAAGATACAAAGGTGTAAACAAAGCAGAGCTTTAGTAGCATGTAGACAGATAGTAGTAGCAGTGGCGGATCTAGAAAAATAGGGCCACCCCGCAAAAAATTGTTTAGGCCCCCCTATATATATATATATATATATATATATATATATATATATATATATATATATATATATATATATATATATATATATATATATATATATATATATATATATATATATATATATACATACAAACACAAAATACGAACAAAGGATTCTCATTGCTGTTCAAGTTTTGAAAAAAAAACTGTTGTTTTTTTTTCAATTAACAAAAATTAATCCAATATGTTGTGTCTAAGACTCTAAGTACATTAGTCTGTTTTAAAACTCTAGTTTATTTTATTTCTGCTATCACACCTCTTAACCCCTAGTCGGTCAAAAGAATATAAAACATGAAAGCTTTGTATAAGTAATGGTGTCTCGTGCTATGTTTATTTTTATGTTTTTTTTTGTATTTATATTAGTAATTTTAAATTCATTTCCTTTTTATATAATGTCAATCTTTAGTACGTACTTCATAAAAAAATAATAAAGAGAAGTAATTACTTTTTAATTTGTTTAGTGCAAATCTATTAAAAGAAGCTTATGAGCACCCTTATTTGACTATTTAAAAATGGGAAATAAGTCATGGAAGTGGTTTGAACGTTTACTTATCTTTGATAAGTTTCATTGTAGGAGAAAGAAAAAGAATATACTAGAGCGTGGGGTGGTGTCTATAGAAAAAAGATAATCCAACCGCAGCTATGGTAATCTTTTTACAAAACAAACATCAAGTTAAAAATGCAAGAAAATCTTTTTTTTTAACTATAAAAAATTATTATGGTCGGCTGTGGGCCCCTAAATGGCGTGCCCCCCCCCCCCCCCCCCGCATTGCGGGGTCTGGCGGCACTGTAGTTCCGCCCCTGAGTAGTAGTAGGCCTATGGAGATTTTTTTTTAAAGTTATTATCATCGGCTTTTGCCCACTGTTGCATTGTAATATTATCACAGGTTAAGGCCCTTGAATATGTAACCTGTTATTTGTGGTCGAATATAAAGGCGTTTGCAGAGGCGTAGCGAGGGGGGACATATATCCCCGGGCGCCGACCTTAGGGGGCGCCAAAATGGGTTGGAAAAACAAATTGAAAGTTTGAGGGGTGGTGCAAATCGAAAGTTTGAGGGGGGGGGGGGTGCAAATCTAAAGTTTGTCCCCGGGCGCCGGGAAGGGTCGTTTGGCAGCTAGCTAGAAGGCCTGGAGTTCGGATCTCGGTTCGAACTTGTGACTGTAGGATGTTCCTTAGTCCACCCGGAACCTGACTTAGGTTGGGGAAAATAAACGAAGCTTGGCATAGTGCTGACCACACTATTTTTCATATGTCGCAGTAATTGAAATATATAATGGGGTCGGCGTGGTCGAGTCGATAAAGCTCATGGTTGCTAAACCGAAAAGTCTCGAGTTCGAACCCTTGGGCAGATGAGGCTCGTTAGCTGGAGACAGCCACTCTTCTAGGAGAGACAACTCCAAAATTAAACAACTGCTGCCTTGTAGATTGTTCTTGGTTGGACAAAGGCTATGGAAGCAAATCCAAAAAGAAAAGCAGGCTGAAATTGGAGTCAATGGCCTCAATGGCGCACAACCAGTTGACACGTAACGAGTCGGCAAAAAGCTCTTGGTTGATAAATTCGAACAAAGTCTCGAGTTCAAACCCCTTCAACACTAATAATTAAGAACGAAGAAGAAGAAGAAGAAATATATTAACAGTATGTGGTGCTGTCATGTGTAAAGTAAAGTTTCCTTTTCAAACGTGACGGTCTATGGGGCAAGTGAAGTAGAGCTCAATTGTTTCTGTGGTCTCGGCATATGAAGAGATAGTGTGGTCAGTACTATGCCCAGCCGCCTTTACTTTCCCTAACGTGAATTAGGTACCCATCAGAGTTGGGTGGACTTAGGGATGTTCTAATGACTTGAACCCGGATTCGAACTCGAACTCGAGACTTACGGGTTAGCAGTCCAGCTCTCTACCGCTAGACCACTCCGCCCCATGTGTATGAAGGTGTATGAAGGTGTAAACGTGGGACGGATCACTGCGTGTGTGTATGTATCATGTAGCGAGACGCGAGGCCGGGTATGTTGACGTGTATGTTGTTGTACGGAGTGAACGAGAGTACAAGGGAAGCGACTGGTCGAGTGACAGCGCCGTGTTGACGTGTATGTTGCTGTACGGAGTGAACGAGAGTACAAGGGAAGCGACTGGTCGAGTGACAGCGTGTTGTATTGTGAGCGGGAGAAAGTAAGTGCGTAGGAATGAATGCGGAGGACAGTTGAAGATTGGGGTAAAAAAAGAAAGAGTTGATATTTTTGAATGGGCAAGAAAATTCGTTGGATTAAACAGATTGTTGTACCTAACCTCTAACAAGTGAACTCTACTGAACTTGCCCCATAGACCGTCAGGTTTGAAAGTGTGTGTACGTATACCTGAGTGCACGAGATTCATGTCACCCTCACACTGTACTTTACCAATCCCATGCACTGTCGAGGTAAGAAAAGAAAGTTTCCCTTTCAAACCTGACGGCCTATGGGGCAAGTGAAGTAGAGTTCAATTGTTTCTGTGACCTCGGCATATGAAGAGATAGTGTGGTCAGCACTATGCCCAGCCGCCTTTACTTTCCCTAACGTGAGTTAGGTACCCAGCACTGTCGAGGTACTTTACAAAAAGAGACACACGTTACAACGTTAATATGACTATTTAAAATATACCATAATAAGGGATATACGGTAGAGTCCAACGATTGTCTGATGTTTTATTAGGCACGACTGCCATTCGACCGTTGTCTCGACGCCGATATTGCAGATAACCATAGCAGTTTTGAATGGTCTCCTATTGAAACTGTTTTTAAAAGTCCTGTTAACATTTACCATTAACCATATGAGGCGGCGAATATTCATGTTTTTTTACCTGCACGAACCATTTACCATGTGTTAGTACGCCACAATACTATGTAGGACATTTTCTACAACAGACAAGGATTTAAATAATCATTTTAATATTATTTTTCTTAATATTCTAATTCTGTGTAGTTTCTGTAAAATGTTATCTTCGTGTTCCCTTGTAAACAAAACAATTTTGATAGTTGCCTATTAAGACACTAGGGAGAAAGATTTTTAAACAAATAGCGCATGTAACTCATTTTGAGCATTATTTCCCTTTAACACGAAAATTTTTTGTTGTATATTTATATTATCATTACATTTACAACACTTTCTGACAAAATTAAGTGATAATTAAGATTGTTTTTAATGTTTCAAGCATTAATTTGTATAGGCCATATAGGTGACCTCATTTCCTTGTATTTCATGAATTGCCTAACTAGCCCTAACTCATTCGCTAAGCCGTGCGATGCGTGACCATAACAATGACTCTCTCAGATAAAACTTCAGTACGATACTGTATTGCCCAGTCCTATGTATTATAATAATTAGTATGTTGGTTAAAAACATGTAGATCTCTGTTTTTACATTAATACACAAATAATTAAAACCACATTATTGCCTACCTGGTAAGTAAACCATACACATGAAGAGTATAGAAAACACGATAACTTTATCCATATGTAAACCTCAGTATTGCTTGCACCGTGAATTAGCTTTGAGAAGGGATCTTTAAAAAATCCATTGGCTACAACAGCAGAGAAGAAACTAGAAATAGCCTAGACTTGGTGTACGTCTATTTCTTGCCTATGTAACACAGCCAAAATTATGTCCGTTTAGTAAATGTGTCTGATGTGCAATTTTGCGCATCTCCTAAGTTCACTTTATGCGTCTGTTGCTAGTTATGAAACAGAGGCGTAGCGAGGGCGGGGCGGGCGGGGTGGGGGTGCGGGCCGCACCAGGTGACACCATTTAGGGGGTGGCAAAAAAAATGCAAAATGTAAAGAAGAAAATGCTTTTTAGTCAGTTCCATTAATAATTAATTAAAGTTAAATAGTCTGTTAAATGCAAATCAGCAATTCTTAAAAGGGGGTGGGGATGACACCATGACGTGAACGTGCTAACTATAAACTGTAAAGAAAACAATGCTACATCCGATTATAGTATTAAGAGACTATAGATAAACATCGTTACTATTACGTCTGCAGTGATTAAAGCTTATGAACATACATGTACGAGTATGTGGCGTATATGTAAATTATAGGCCTATGTAGGCCGACACAAACATACACACACGCACGCGCACACACACACACACACACATGTGTCGCACCGGGTGACACCTGACCTAGCGACGCCACTGATACAGACAATACGCTTGTAAGTCTCGGTTTCTCGCGCTTAAAATTGGAAATCCCGTTAGCCAAGGAGAGGTAGGCCTATACATTTTACAACTGAATTGTTCCCCATTGATCACAAAAAATACGGCGGCTTTTTGTTTCTAGGCCTTGCTTCAAGATTGTGTTGTTGTTTTTTTTATTATGTAGAATTGTACGTATGATCTATTTTATTGGGTATGCGGGAACCGAACTCGAGTTCTTCGGGTTGGTAGTTAACTGCTCTATCACCCAACCACGACATCCAGTTCAGAGTTTCTTCCAGGCATCTCTTCGGGTCCGCCCCCCCCCCCCTCCGAACGAAACGGAATTTATATAGAAAATATATACTTTTAACAGTGCCCCCCCCTTCCCCCCCCCCCCCCGAAATTTTAGTCCGCCCCCCCTCCCCGGAGAAAAAAGTCTGGAAGAAACACTGATCCCGTTCTAGTATGGTACTACCTATAATGCAAAAATAGATATTTTTAAAAAAACGCAGCTAGAATGACTCTAGCGGTAACGGGTGACTGACGGCGAACTTGACTCGAATATGTGATCACGATTTAGCCTACTGACATATTCAACCACTGAACTGTGGAAAATATTTTCGCAGTGCAATGGCGTTTCAGGTGCAGCGTTGACAAAAAAAACTAGGCTTTTCAAATAGAACCCTGCTTTTGAATGGAGCATTTGTGTGCGAGGGTTGTTCACTGGCTGTCATAAAGTTATTACATAGACGCTGGGTGGGATCAAAACAGGCGACACTTAAACTGGGTTTTGATACTTTCTAGCCGGGTGTTAAAATTATAAAGTAAATGAGACGCTTTTATATTTAAATGCGAAGTACTTGAAATCAATATAAATTAAAATAAATTACAATTAATATTCTATTTGAGAACTGATCAAATTGAGGCTTTATATTTAAATCATTATGCATCACGAATCTAGGGACGTAAAGTATTTCGATTTTGTACAATAAAATGGGTGCTTGTTCGTCTTGTAGAGCACTCGATAACTGTATAGAGAAATCTCGCATTATGATCGAGAGCTCAAGTCACCCGTTTGTCCCTGAGCCAACTCAGCTTTTGATTGTTACCTTATCCGTAGCACGTTCTGAGTAAACCCAGTCCGGTTTTAAGGGGAAAATATACTTGAAGCACTTACATTTCATAAACTAATGAAGCAAATTGTGACGGCGTGGTCTATTGGTACACCATGCGCCTGCTAACCCGAATCACATCTTGGGTTCACTCATCTCTGATGGGTATCTAACTCACGTTAGGGAAAGTAAAGGCGGCTGGGCATAGTGCTGACCACACTATCTCTTCATATGCCGAGGTCACAGAAACAAGTTAACTCTGCTTCACCTGTCCCATGGATCGTCATAATTGAACGTAACTTTACTTTCTTAATTTAGTCAAATCATTAAACCTAATTCGAAATTCTAATGTTGAAACGCATGTATCTATGCTTTGAACAGAGATAGATATAACCAGGGGCGGAACTACAGTGCCGCCAGACCCCGCATTGCGGGGGGGCCCACGCCATTTAGGGGCCCACGGCCGACCATAAAAAAAATTGTTATAGTTAAAAAACATAAATGTTCTTGCATTTTTGACTTAATGTTTGTTTTGTATAAAAGATTACCGTGGCTGCGGTTATATTATCTTTATTCTATAGGCACCACCCCACGCTCATTTTTCCTTCGTTTTAATTTTAAACCACTGTGAAAGCCGAGTCCTCTTTCTCCTACAATGAAGCTTATCAAAGATAAGCAAACGTTCAAACCACTTCCATGACTTATTTCCCTTTTTTAAATAGTCAAATAGTGATGCTCATTTTTAATAGATTTGTACTAAACAAATAAAAAGCAATTACTTCTCTTTATTATTATTTGTTTATAAATTACTTACTAAAGAATGACACTGTATAAAAAGAAAATGTATTTAAAATTAATAAAATAAATACAAAAAAAAACATAAAAATAAACATGACGCGAGACACCATTATTTACAGAAAGCTTTCATGTTTTATATTCTTTTGACCGAAATGAGGTTAACGGTCGTACGGCAGAGATAATATAAAACTGATTTTCACAAAACAGACTAATGCACTTACACTCATGACATGATGTTGTAATTTGTTTTAATAAAAAAAAACACGTATTTCTCATACCACGAACAGGCCAGCATGAATAAGTATCCTATGTTCGTATGTTGTGTTTGAGTATATATATATATGCATATATAGGCCTATATATTTATATGGGGGGGGGGGGGCTAAAAAAATTTTTGCGGGGTGGCCCCTTTTTTTCTAGTTCCGCCACTGGATATAACAACAATTTAAGCGTATTCACATGATCAAATTCACTGACAATTTCAATACTTTGAAAAACAAATTCTGTTATCGAGTAAAAAAAAGCTAAAACGGCTATAACATTAACATAATACACATAATGTTCATTATATGTGATTGTTTTAAGTTAGGTTTGCCTGTCGCCCCTCCAGAGACATAGACCGCTGGCAAGAGCTAGTCTCTCCAACTGTCCCCAGGTGTATCAATTCTTCTTGGTGTCAGACATCTCTGTCCTGAGCTAGTCTCTCCAACTGTCCCCAGGTGTCCTGAGCTAGTCTCTCCAACTGTCCCCAGGTGTATCCAATTTTCTTGGTGTCTTCTTTCAAGTCACGTCTCCAGTCAAAATGTAAACAAATAGCACACACATTTCTGTAGCATAGGAACATTGGGAGTGAAGTGACGTGTATCGATGCTAGGACTTAGAGATTAGGTAGGGTATAAATTGATAAAAGCTGAGGTTGGGGAGGGGGGGTAATGCTCTTACAGCCGGCTGAAAGGACTTATTATATGTTGTGTTACAAGAAATCTAGAAGATAAAATCACATAGGGACTTTGTTGATCAATTGGTATCTGTATTCAAGTGCCAACCTTCAAACACACATCGCAACACCTGTGTTTACATTTGGCGTGGAAATAATATTTTATGTCAACATTGCTATTCCTTGAACAATGCCAGATTTCAGCCCCTCCTTATAGAAAAGCAGGATGTTGCTGAGAAAAAAAATTCAATTTCCCCATCAGTTGCTGGCTAAACTTTGGTCCATTAACAAACTATCCAATTTTAGCTATTGAAATGTTGGCTCATACACTTAATTAACAAATTGTAATAGCAGATTAAACTTTTGTCTATTCAATAAAATATCAAGTTTTAATAATTTATTTAACTGTGGTCCATTCACTGTCCATTCAAACAGTCACATTTTGTCACAGATCACAAAAATTAGATAAACTTAAATCCATGCAATGACTTAATGAAATATACAAACTTGAATATGGTCTGACACATGACAACAAAATTAAAGCCTAATTGCATACTAATTAGTTGACAGAAATTAAAGTGCGGTCGTTGACCTTTAAAGACTAATTACATACTAATTAGTTAACTGGAATTACAGTGCGGTCATTGACCTTTAAAGCCTAATTAAATGCTAATTAATTGACTGAATTATAGTACGGTCATTGACCTAACAGAGTTTTGAGTTTTTGCTGTATGACGTAATCCATCTCCCACCTGGTGACGACAATGACGCTGTCGTCTGTCACGGCACTGAGCAGTTCAGTGGGCAGCTGGTGGACATGACGTCTGTGTACCAGCACGACAACCCGGGCTGGGTTGGCTGGTGTCTGGGAGTACACCGCACACCTTATGGTAAACCACATCCACTCGTCCGCCCTCAGAAAGTTCTCGCTGAACACCAGCACCACCCTCCAGCTGGCGTTGATGGCGTCGACTATCCCGCTGGCTACGTCACTCGAAGGTAAAAGGTCACGGTCACGGACAAACGTTCGCAGACCGAGCTTGTCTTCTATGTAAGGCAACAGCTGATGGCAAGCAAAGGCGTAGTCGTTGTCGGCGTACCCAATATACACACCGTTTTTGTAGTCTTTGCAATCATGCAACCGGAAATTCCCAAAATATTGTAACACATACGACATAATGTAAGTCAGGTTATGGTTGATAATAAACACTAGCAAGTACCCAATACATAAAGTACTGAAACAGACAATGCTTAGATAAAAGAAATACTGTCCCGAACACTCTCGCCATAGTTTCTCAACGTCCTTGTATTCCAGCGTAGTCGTTAGTTTACCACTGTTATCAATGCAGGTGTAATTTCTATTGTTGTCAAGAATAACATGAGTTGATGAAAGCCACATGAGGAAATCTAAATTTTCACAGGCACACGACAGTGTGTTGCCGTCGAGATATAAATAGAAGCCTGCGGATGTGTGCGATCTTGTATCCAATTCTGAACGAGTTGACGCGTCTATTGTTGTCAGGGCGTTCCCTCTCATGTCTAGCACGTAAAGTTTTGGCGTGATTTGAATCTCAAAAGGAATACTCCGAAACCGATTATACGCGAGGTTTAACCCTTTCAGGTTTAAATTATCCACAAATGTATTCGGTGCTAAAATGTCCAACTGGTTTGAAGACAAGGCAAGCCACTGTAACGCAGGCAAATACTGGAACAATCGCCTGCTGTTCTGTGATACAAATGATGGCACCAAATTGCATGCTGAAAGTGCTAGTTTCTCAACGGTGTTAAGCGAATCAAAGAAATTAACCAACAGGGAATTCATATTGTTGCCAGACGCAATGATTGTTTTAATGCCTGTAAGTCCTTTAATTATATAATTAAATTCTCTAAATCCGTTAACTGAGAAATCAATATAAGTTATGTTAGCTCCATTCTCGATGTAATAGTTAATTTTAAATAAAGCACTTGGGGTTATTTTCTGAACATGCAAGGCTTTCAGGGAAGGGTTGAAGTAAACTCTAACAAAACCACAAGTTGGGCACAATATGGAGGAGTCACTAGTAACATCTTGGTTAGTTTCTTCCATTTCATTTTTTACATCAATACTTTGCCTTATGTTATCTTGCGTCAAAGAACTCACTGGCGATACGGGACTTAAATCATTGGCTGTTTCATTCACGTGATCTTCCCAAAAATTTCTAAAGTACTGGTCTCTCGAAAAAAAAGATTCTAAAATTAGAACCTCTAAATTTTTCAGCAGTAGGAATTGAAAACATGCAGATCTAATACCCAAAATAGGATTATCTGTGAGGTCTAAACTTTTTAAACATTGCTGCCAGGGTTTACTAAATAACGAGTTCAACCCTATCATAAAGATGTAATTTGATTGGAGAGAAAAATGAGACAGACATATTTGTCGCACATAAAATGTCATGGCTTGTGTGAGGACGCTTTCATTTCTCATTACGCTTACATCAGGTTTATTAATATCTAGTGCCAACCCGTCCAAACGAATTTTAGACATTTTTGTTGAATTTAGATATGAAAATAGAGCAAACGATTTTCTCAATCCAATCGGCGTATCTTTCAAAATGAGAACATCTAAATCGTAGAAATGTTGCAAAGCTTTTGGATCTAAATACTCTAAATTGTTTAGTTCAATTAAAGTTAACTCTTTTAAATGTTTCACGTTTTGAAAACTATGATCAGAAATATTTGTTAATGAACCTGACACAATTAGAGTGGTAAGGTTAGTAATTTTTTTGTATTCTGGGCTGAACTCTAGAGTGTCGTTGTTAAAATCAAAAGACAGATAAGTTAAACTATGCGGCAATACATAATCTATTACATCATTTGGTCTTTGATGTATCAGATGAAGTTCTACTAAACCAGACAGAGACGAAAATGGATAAGTCGCAGACAGGTTGAGATTATTATTTTCCAAATTTAAGACCGTTAATTCATCCAACCCGGCAAACGAATCGTTAAACAACATTTCTATTTCGTTATTTGACAGCGTCAGATTTTTCAGCCTCTTCAGGTTAGAAAATATTCGGCCTGGGATGGTGTCTAGTAGATTGTTGTTGAGTAAAAGTGTCGTGGTGTTTTCATGAAACCAGGAACGTTTGATCTCAGTGAGCTGCCTGTAGCTACAGTTCACTAGAACTTCGGCTTCAGTCACAGATGTGGTACATGGCGAATCAATTTCAGCGCTAGGAGTGTGCGATCTCTCTTGAGTATATTCAATAGGTGTCCATGTGTTTCTCATAGTTTGATCTTCAGTATCCAACTGCTTGTTAAAAAAATAAGCCGCAGAAATAAAATGTAACTTCACTATCCAGAGTAGAACTAACACAGCACACGTTGTATATAAACGAACCTCCATTATACATGTGGGAAAAGATCGCTGTGACATCGCTGTTCGGTGTGCTTAGTTTTAGATTAGTACGGACGGTGCGCGGGTGAACGCAAAAATCATAGCACTGTCGCGCTGGTTTACTTACAGGCTCGCTTGACTTGGAAACTTCACTACATGTTGTAAAGACTTTGGTCCGTTTTTTTTTTTCTTACCTTAACGGGAGTACAAAAGAGACATTGAAGGGGGGATTTATGAATAAACAGAGTTCCATAGGGATAGAAAGACAGAGAGAAAGACAGAGCTAGAAAGTAATACTTTGAAATGGGAGAAACCCAGAAACAACTACTACCTATCTTAATACATTTATTTTAAATCACTTAAGCTGGTGGATAAGGTTTTTTTTTTTAATTTTTTTTTATTGATTAGAAATAACACACATATTTTAATTTGATTAGAAATGAAGCAAATATTTTAAAACCTGTATAATAATAATAAACTTTTTAATATTTAAATTTTAAATAAAATAATATCTTTGTTTTCTTTATTAAAAGCATTGGTAAGAAATTAGTTTGCTTGCCCTCTCCTCCCCCCCCCCCTTCAATTCCTTCCAATATCCAGTTGTCTGCAAGGAATCGTGTAAAAGAACCGTTACCCAGAGGTGCAGCGAGGGGGGGGGGGGGGCGGGGGGTGCGGACCGCACCGGGTGACACCATTTAGGGGGTGACACCAAGGCAAAATATAGCAAAATATAATGAGAAAAATTTGAGGGGGGGGGGGGGGCAAATCGAAAATTTGAAAGTTTGTCCCGGAAAGGGTCGCTACGCCTCTGGGGGGGGTGACACCATTAAGTGCCGCACCGGGTGACACCCGACTTCGCTACGCCACTGCCGTTACCCACTCAAGAAGACTGAACAATCAGAATGGCTCGTCTACAGAGGTGGAGCTACCCCATAACAGGCATAAGCAGGGCATAGGCCTAAGTGAAAAAAAAAATGTGGACCCTTTTTCCTTTTTTAAAGATGTAAAATTTTAATTGGAATTTCGATATTTATTTTATATAATTAATTTTGGAAAGAAAATGGAAATCCACTTTGCTCTCTGCTGTAGAAAATACCGGGGGGAAAAAATCTGTAAAAAGCCCCAGTCCTTCCATAGTGTACATTATAGAATGGGTGTAGGCGGACTGGCCCCGATTTTCTGCACAACCCCATCCGTATTGGGCTACAGGACATTACCCCCGTCAATTACCCCCCCCTCCCCCCCCCCCCCGCCCTTGACATATCACCCCCCCCCCCGCCCCCGCATCCCCCCCCCCCCCCCCCGAGCAATTAACCCCTGTCAATTACTCCTCTGGGGAATTACCCCCCACCCTCAAGTTAGAGTCCTAACTCTAACTGAAATTAACTTAATCCTAAACTTAAGAAAAACGCCAAAACCTAAGAATTCACCTCAGCCTAAAACTTAACAACAAAACCAACTCTGGACATTGGTTTAAGCCTAACCTTGACCATAACACTAACCCTAGTCCTAACCCTAACCCTAGCCCGAACCCTAACCCTAACCCTATCTGTACCTTAAGCTATGTCCGGGGGGTAATGTCCTACTGGGCGGGGGGTAATTGACAGGAGGGTTATGCCCTGTTCCCTCCGTATTGATAACACTACATTCTCAGCACCATGTCAAGCCGCTTTTACCCTAACTAATATGATCAGGTACTCATTAGAGCTGGATGGACTCAGGGGCGCTCTACTGACTCGAAACAAGCATGTGAAAGGCGGACACTGGCTTGGTATATATTTTCAATATAAATGTATTTCTTCATTTTGCAATGGGTGGTGGCGATGTGTCTGTTTTCTGAAGAAACTCTGAATGAGAGGGTCACTAAAGTGTATCATATTTTTCTCATTCAACATCTACGAGACACTAGAGTAAAAAGTATTGGCAACAGTTTCATGAATGCTTGCTTTAGTAGAGTTCATTTTGTTTTTTATTTGAAAACTATAAGAGAGGTATTTTTAAATTAATAAATACATTTCTTTTTGATCCTGTATTCCATGTTGAAACTTCGCTCAATACAAAATAATATATACACGGTTGCTTTGATTGGTTTTAAAAACTTCATAGGATGTTATGTGAAGATGACATGAAGAAAGTTAACTGTGTAAAAAAAAGCTCAGTTTGTGAACCAACCCTTATGTACACTTTATCATACTTGATGTGCTTCTGAGATTTGAATATCCAAAACAGTTTATACTTTCTTTCTTTAATGTTAGTAATAGCGTTTTTATCTTTCAATGTTGTTTTTTCTTTCACTGAACCAAGCACAAGAACACCATCAGATGTATGATGTGAAGAAAAGTTATGAAAACCTATACTATTTTCACGTTGTTTGGTTCCATTGTAATATCAAGTGTTGTGTGTTGTATTGTAATGTTCCATGTTGTAGTCATCATTGCGTCTTTATTAGTCTTTATATCGTTGATTAAGTCGCGATCATTGTTATTGATACGTCTTTAAGTAGCTGATTATTTGACGTGAGGTTATTTGATTAAGAAATTGTGTTTGAGATTATTTTGTCATGTGATCATTTGTATTGTGTATTGATATAATGACTAACTGACAGGCTTTTAAATTGTATACTACAAAGATAAAACGTCAGTATAAGGGAAAAATTATATTTACTAAACTTATTTATATAGGATATTAGTGTCGTAAGTTCATAGTAATTTTATTATTATTTTATTTACTCATTGTAAGAGTTATAAATATGTACATAACATACAGAATTATAAAATTACAACAAAAAAAAAATAAAGAAAAAATAACGTTAAAAATATATATCATCGGTTAAAAGGAATGATTTATTTCGAATACTATCCCCCACCTCTTGTGCTAGGTTGGCAGTATTTCTTGTTATACATTATTGATTTCCTGACAAGAAAAAATGTAATAAAAATATACATTTTTGTTTTACCCAACTGTAAATATATATATATATATATATATATATATATATATATATATATATATATATATACCTTTACATTCTAGAGATACAATTGCTGGCATACTAACTTGCATTCTTCCTGTATCTTACAATCGTCGTTACTACGGCAGTAATTCATATATTGCACCGTCGGTTTCCCTAATAAACCACTGAATTTGAAATGATAATTAATTTAAACATAATGCGATATTTATATATAAATGTATATATATATATATATAAATATATATATATATATATATATATATATATATATATATATTTATATATATATATATATATATATATATATATATATATATATATATATATATATATATATATATATATATATATATATATATATATGTATATGTATATATGTTTGTGTTTATGTGTGTGTCTGTGTATGTTTGTATGTGTGTGAATGTGTGTGTAAAGTGTGTTTGTGTGTCTTATTTAAACAATACATTTCAACTAAATGGAAGCTAATTAAATGTACCCTAAGACGAGATCAGCGAAAACCAGGAGTAACACAATAGAACACAGCATTTCAAATTTTCTGGGTAGCCTATAAGAAAACAAAATATTTTATCAATAACACTCTTCGTTAGGTAGTGTGTCATGCCGTCGTTTCGTCATTCTCTCATCGGTGTAGACGTAAAGAGAATCGTGAAGCTATCTCAGACGTGAAGATATGCGATTCAAAGATCACACATTAAAATGTGAAACACGTTTAACATTTAAGACACATTTAAGACAACTTTACATAGTGCTGAGGTAAAAATACAGGCTATAAGCAGAAGCTAATTGGTACTGCACTACTTATTTTAACACTCCGGAAATTTGAACTGGCCTGGATTCAGCTATAACAGGACGTCTAATCTGTAATATAGCTAAGATGGTAGTGTTTATTAGTCGCTTAAATGTATTTTATAACTACATTGCTTTCGTTACACACTACAATTAAGAAATACAATGGTTAAAAGACAAATGATCTCACGGACAAAATATATCAAGCAAAATATATTATGACAAATAATATCATGGACAAATTATCTCAGACAAAATATCCCAAACTAAATATTTCATGACAAAATGTGTACGTAATGAGAATGATTTTAGTCGAGTTTATCTTTTTTTTTAATTTATTGTCCTGAGATCATTAATCCTGTCATCCATAAAATATTATATTTCAAGAAATTATAATAAAAGAATAAAGAGGAAATAATCACTTTGATTAATAGGTCTACAATATTATGTAAACAAATTTAACAATATATATCACATCATCTTTTTTTAAAGAAATAATACATAGTGCTCCTCTTTAAAACTTTTCAACATTTTTGTTAGCCGGCAAAATTAAATATAGTGTTGTTACAAAACAGCAAACGTAAAATGTTCAAGAAAATAATAAAGTTTAAAAGTACGCCGTGTAGTACAGCTATATCAACCTAAACCTATATTATTCTGATGATGATAAATCATTCCGGATTCAATTCATTAGATCGTCCCTGAGTCTACCCACCTCGGATGGGTACCTTACTCAAGTAATGGAAAGTAAAGGCGGCTGAACATAGTGCTAACCACACTATCCCTTCGTATGCCAAGGTCACATAAACAGGACATAATCATTATATTAATTTAAATCATTATATGAGATAATTTTCGAGACAGCCCATCCCAATCCACACTTGTACAAGTGTCAATACTGATTGTTTAATAACAGAATGACACACTACCTAGCGGCAGATGCTATTGGAATATGGTTTTAAATGTATTGAAAAATATCGAACACATTTCTTTTATTTTTATACAGCTGCTTTTAATTTTAAGGTTAGAAAAAAAGTTTATTAATATTAATATATACTCATGACAGTGAACATAAATGCGGGTTATGAACCAACATTCGAGAATCTATTAAGCCAAGCAGGGAAACAATCTCCCCATGTAATTTGACTTCCATTGGGACTATACTTGCAGTACATAATTAACGACACAAAACTTATTGGTATTTAAAAGTAAACCTAGACATTTCAAGAAATTTTACGAAACTGCATATCAATACCAATGATACATTTTGTCATTTTAGCTACGACGATTCATCGCCACTATAGTTTTACCCGCCCTCTCCCACCCCACACACATCACCCACACACACGTCATTGTATCATTGCTAAACTAATATGTTAGACATGTCTTAACATAGCATATGCACATACATTTCATCAGCATCCAAACGCAATCCTAGCTTTTGTTTAAAACAGCTTTTAATCATACCCGTATATGTGCTAATAATTAAACAGTGATTTCAATACATGCATTGCTTTCTGCTATACATATAACTATACCGACATATACCTTAGTTACTAAAGCTACAAGAAAAAAAGTTTACAGACGTAGCTAAAATTTTTGACATGCTCCAGTGTGATCATCTCTCATCGTTTTTTTATTTCATAAACCTACATAGAATCGCACGCAAATAGAATATTATGTGTAGTAATTCTACGTCATATAAACACTTTTCCTTCCACTCATCCCCACATATACACGTCGAATGATGGATATTCACACATACATGCTCTTACGGTACTCATATACAATATACTTACATATAAAGAATAAAACATATTTACTTTCAATGGGACCTATTTATCTTTTTACCCTTTCAATTAGCACATAACTAAAAGGGTAGCAAATTGATACAAAGCATTTTGGTTGATTAGAATATCAATTACACGTTCTCCTCAGTGGGTTTCGTGACAAATAATCCCACGACAAATGATCCCAATGACAAAATATCCCAAAATATTTCGCCCTACGATCATTGGTCCGAGATATTTTGTGTCTGGAATATTTTCTCTGAGATCATTTCTCCTGAGATAATTTATCCTGAGATCATTTTTCCTGTCAGCTCTCTAGCGACTTTACTGACATTGTTTGCAACAATTTTCAGTTACATAAATTTATAAATGTAACACACTTGCGTTTTTGGAGATGGTCAATACATATATAGTAAATTGTTAAAGGAATATTTTGCCTAACTGCCGAAAACGTAAAGCAATAATGCAAATAAACCGGGAGTGATCTCCCCTAAACTTTCTCGAATATTCTTATATAACACTACTTTACGGGGGATGGCTACTCAGGATATAGACATGATTTTTAATCCATTTTTAATTACTTAAACTTTTTAAAATAGAATAGAATCTCGTAGAAAAAAGATTACGCACCAAGTGAACGACAAACAATATGTTTATAATAGTGCGCAATATTATTAGTACTTTATAAATTCATATGCGTTTGTTGTTTTTGTTTTTTTTTTGAGAAATCGGAAATAGCGTAAATTGCTACTTTCGATCAACGGAAATTACTCAACATTTTACAGAAGGCAGAGAATTAGATCTTTTACTAACATGACATTTCATTTATCTATCTGATACAGTAATCAAATAATAGGCCTTTGAAAAACTTAAAGTATAATACGCCTCACTTCCGGTTATCAGAAATCGCTGCAAAGTTGATACAGAACTACACATTTGATGTAATACTTTTATACGAAATTTCATCAACCTAGCTGCAACGGTCCTCGAGTTATCGTGTTCACAGACACACATACATACACACAAGCATACACACACAGACATACGGACTAAATTGCAAAACTATGTTTTTCCAACTCGGGTTAGTGTAAAACGTCGAGATTGGTAAAAAATCTCTTTTTTTTTTTTTGCACGATTACAATACTTTTTACACAATAAGCAATTATTACAGACAAATACGCACCTACGCGAGTTAAATTGTAGACTATGTTACATCAGCACGGTGGTAAAGGCACACACAAACACGAGCACTCTCGAGTTTATATACCAGTCACTTCTCGTTTAGTTCGTGCTATTTGTGCCAATCCCGCAGTGAATCGAAAACAGCGCATTGATTGCAAGGCTGGATACTTCACACTGTCTTAACCACTTTATCGTGTTCGACTGAAACAACGTCTTGGGCGTCAGTTGACCTTACCCGCAGCATAAAAAAGCACTTTTTTTTAAAATTAGCAATTTTTCGTTTTGGTGTCATCTTCTTAAACTGTGTCAAACGATGCAGCGCACACTTCCGCGCCCTCCTTGTGACGATAATGTCAGCAGCCAAGTGCTTTATGTCACACATAATCAAAATTAATTACATTAATTTATTGATTAATATTATTTACTATATAAATACTAAAGATCTTCCTGTATTTACTCTATGATTCCTGTATTCACTGGTCATTAACACGCCGCACGCATCCAATACATTGTGTGTACATTCTATGGAACTCAGATTGTGTCATTTTTACCCAACTCTGTCAGATTTAATTTTATTAAATTGTATTTTCTAAACCACAAAAACTATTTAAAAGTGCTCAAGTTGTCTTTTTTTTTAAATATAAATGTCGGAATCAACATCAGCTCTTTAGGAAAGAACAGTAGAACAGCCTGCTTTTGCGTTGAAAAGAATGAATGTGAAAAACAAATCATTCATTAAACTTTTTGTTAGCTGAAACTTCGAGAAAAAAGCGACATCAAAGGCAGTTCTGTGTTATATAACAGGGCTCTTTAACATTCTCTACCCTCGTCACCACCCAGGGGAATGCTGGCGAGGGAGCAGCCTACGACTCCGCAAATACATAATAACAACACAACACCGTTACTACACTTTAAAAAAGTAAAGTTCCCTTTTCAAACCTGACGGTCTATAGGGCAAGTGAAGTAGTGAAGTAGAGTTCACTTTTTTCTGTGACCTCGGCATATGAAGAGATATTGTGGTCAGCACTATGCCTAGCCGCCTTTACTTACCCAAACGTGAGTTAAGGAATCCATGAGAATTGGGTGGACTCAGGGACGGTCTATTGACTTGAACCCGGATTCGAACTCAAAACTTACGGTTTAGCAGTCCAGCTCTCTACCGCTAGCACACTCTGTTCCCTTACTCCACTTTTCCTTGCTTCCCTTTCCCCCCCCCCCCCCCCCGATGAGAGTCTACTCCCCCCCCCCCCCCGAACAAAATGGAATAAATGGAATTTATATAGAAAATATTTACTTTTAACAGTGTCCGCCCCCCCCCCTTTCGGAAATTTTTTAATCCGCCTCCCTCCCCCCCCCCCCCGAAAATTTCAAGTGCCCTCAGAAACACTGGGAGTCGAGTCTGTAAGACTTCCCTGAGTCCAAACATCTGTGGTGAGTACCTGACTCACATTATGGAGAGTAAAGGCGACTGGGCATAATGGACCTATACTGTCCGTTCATATGCCGAGGTCAATGAAAAAGATGGTCTCTGTTTCATCTGCCTCGTAAATTGTTAGATCCGAAATAGCAACTTCTAATTTCGTTTCATGTGCCATATTCCCTTTTCTTTACAGATCTAAAAACGTAGTCTTCATAATCAGTAATGCGAATATTCTAATTAATTAACAATTAACGATCAGAAATACAGAAATAAAAAGCAATCGGACTAATAAATCTATCGATTTTTTTCCCACGAGTTCCCCAGGGGCGGCTATCGTTCACGATTAAAAACAAGTTTGATTGAAGTAAA